AATTTTATTTTTGTAAAATGAATTGCTATTGGGGATAGATTGTTACTATTGGAAAGAAACAATTTTAAAACTCAATATGAAACGAAAATCTCAAACTCATCGGATATCTAATTTGAATCACACATTTTTGGATAGAAAGGATATGGGATTTTTCAACTATTGAGAATCAGCTTTGATATGTGAATGACAAGTGATGGTTAACAAATATCTGTCTTCTAATGGACGATCGTAATTTGGCCTATTAGTTAACAAGTTAACATTTTATCATTGTAGACTATGGCTCGTGTATGGCTCATCAAGCAGAGATTACAAAGAATATCCTGACTAGTAATGCTTTAGTTCAGGCATGTGTTATAAGGGGCTAGGAATGTGACTAAAATTAGATGAAAAAAAATATTGGAGATTTCAAGTTGTCATTAAAAATGATAATTAGCCAATGTAAACTAAAAAAGAAAACTTTCTAATTAGCAATAACTTAACTATTCTTGGTAATTGAACAGTTTGCAATCCTTCCAATGATAAAAAGAAATCACTCAGACGAATAGTACCGCTAGTGTATGAAGTGTTGAAATGATGCCATTACCCACAATACAATAATCACAAAAATTAATTGAACATTCCATTCTGCCCATAATCTTATCTATACAATGAATTTACTCATCCTTGCATCTGTTACCAACAATCTTCAAGAAGAAACAACCTTGACAGTATCAAGATATACGTAAGAGCAATAAAATAATTTCTAATCTATTGTGTTATTTCTTTTTAACATCTAGCTCCTATAAAGGGTAATATATTCTAGTTTGGGGGTTAAGATTTTATTACGAATATTTAATTTTTCAACGCATTAAATGCACTTCCGTAACATTGAATAAGAGACACACAGTATTTTTTTTTTTATTTTTACCAAATTAGCAGCAAATTACGAGATAAAAATAATTATATCTGACTTTGATTGGTCGATCAGTTGTAATAAAATTCTAAAGATAGAAAGGTAAGTCATCAATCTTAATAAGAACTATTAATTGAAGAAAGGAGCAAAAGATACCCTTTTTTCTTTTTCATCAATTCTCTCCAGTAGAAATTTCAATATTCTCGCGGGAATTAGTAATTTTACAGATATGTAAACCTTTATGGTAAAGTAGTTTATAGTTATGACAATTATGGATGGATTGATGGCGCTAGTCCATTCAGAAAGATGATATTGATGAGTGCTGGGAAATATGGTTTGAAGGGGGATGGATGATGGGGGGAATGAGTAGTACGTTATCATTGCTCGATAATCTTGAAATATAATTCAATGTTTCATGTATCCGCGGTATAAGAAATGAGAGTCAATCCCCTGGGAACATTTCAATTTACACATTTCTGCTATTATCTTGCATTGTAGTAATGGAGCCTTTTTCCCATATCAATTTTACAAGCTATACACGCTAGATCCATTAGAGATTTTTACATTTGATTGGAAATATCTTCTTTACCAGAGATGCGTTTAAGAGAAATTTGATAACCAGACCCATGTGTATATACAAGATTTAGCCACGGCTAAATCCATCACAAGATTAGTGCCTATTTCTTGCTTCCTCTACCAATGTAACATTTCTTCAAGGATGAGATCATAGTAACTTCCTGTATTACCAGAGAAAAAAAAGATAACGTCTTTTTTTTCCCTGTCTGCTGCGTCTTAGTTTCTATTTTTTTGATAAGAGTTAGAAAATGGCTATTACATTATATGCACCCAGAGCTATGATGGAACTGGGACGGTAGATAGCATTATCTATAGAAGGTAAGCTTTTTTTGATGTGTGAAAAGGCAAATGCAACAGCACAAGCAACAGCAACAGCAAAAGAAAAACTGAATTCTATTGAGTTGAAAAAAAATTCGCTCCTTCATGTTCTGTTGGAAGATTCCGCGATCGGAGAGGTTGGACGCACATGAGATCATAATTTGCAATGAAATCTTGAAATCTTGAAATCTTGGACGAGATGCCCTGCCGCTGGGAACATGCCTTTCATTCTTTCATTTTTTATTTTTACTTTTAATATTGGTGTTAATTTCGAACCACTTCTCTTGACTAGTCAAGCTCCCTACTAGATTAAGACAAATAGCAAAAGACAATTTATTCAGTAATCAAGAAATCTGAAAAATTATTGACATTCAAGACAACTGCCGCACCACTTAAACGCATCTCTACCATAAAAAAAGAATTGATATTTTTTTTATATAATTTGATTTCAAGGCATGGCTAGCACTACAAGGGCAGCAAAGTACATGAAGAAATTGAGTTTTTTTAAACCTGAAGGTAACGTGAAGTAACATAGCATAACGTAATATATGTAATATAGTTCAAGGGAAGAATAATCCCCGTTTACGCACATATCAAGAGACCAGCCGTTACATACTTTGTACAATTACAGTGGGAATGATGTAAAATATTGAACCAAAAAAATAAAAATTTTAAAATTCTAATTTTACGGTCTCTTACGTAGTGAGTGGTAAAAGAAAAACATAATTTCTAAGTTTGTTCGAAGTCCAGCTATTGAGGAAAGCTCCGAACAATTAGAAAATAGCAAGAAATTGAATTAGAAAATGGCTAACTAACGTTAAATAATTATAATCGATAGCAAAGTGAAAATCGACGTTCCGGTTCTGCTTTCTAAATTCTACGAGCTGAGACAAGCTAAGAGAAGAGAAGAGAAGAGAAGAGAAGGCAAAAGACAGATAGACTTTTTCTATATCCCTGTCTTCTGATAATTAATTGAAACTCCAACTCAACTGAAGAGTTGGAAAAAAAATAAAATTAAAAAAGATTAAAAATTTTAAGTCCATAAGCATGATGGGTATACAGATGAAAAAACACTAATAATCTCTCAAGATACCCTTCCGCCGGTAGTCCTTCACTTGAAGATTGATAGTTGCTATTCTTACTTTGCTTGTCTTCCAAGTTAGTAAAAAATGTCTTTTTATGTTTTTTATTTCTCAAATTATGTAGAATTTCTTCATTAGTAAGGAATATAAACAAAAAAAACCCATCGTAAACGTCTGTAACTTTGTAATCTTGATGGTAAACATACGAAAAAGAGGCCACTGGCCCAACCAACCAACCAAAGTATCTCTCCTAAGTTAAATAACCACACAAACGCACAAACGCAAACGCAAACGCAAACGCAAACGCAAACGCAAACGCAAACGCAAACACACTCACGCAAACATACAAATTACAATATAAAAATAGTTTTGACAGGCGAAGGAAGCAGTTCCAGTCAAACAATTGCATTTCAATATACTTTTCTTTGCTCTTGAAGATATTATTCATTGCTATTGTTGTTGTTTGCATTTATCCAATTATAGACATAAGACAACATAAGGTAAAAACAATAACAAGACATTTCCAAACAAAGAAACTTTGCTTGGATCAGAAAATTTAACCAAAACAAGACTAAGTAGCCTGATGTACTAAACCAGTAGCTTTCCGTGTAACTCGTACGTAATTTCGTCGATATGAAATGAAATGATATGATATGATATGCTCTTGCTATTCGTTCTTGTGCTCTTGTGCTCTTGTGCTCTTGATATCACTTGGCCGGCAATACCAAAAAGAAAGTGTGTTGTTACCAACTACATGTACTTATCAGGATAATTCATTGACAATTATTTACTGAGGTTTTTTGGGCAAAAAAGACCTTACAGAGATTGGAACAGAGAGTAATGGGCGATGATGAAATGTTAGAGCTTTTTAATTAATTCCCTTGCTAACTCTCTGTGATTCTTTTATTTACATCTATCTCGTCTGGTCCATCAAACGGAGACCGTGATGGTTCAGTTTTGCTTATATTCCTCACCCAGCTTCTTACCGGACATGTCTATCTATCGAGAGATGCAATCACAGCTCAATAATTTTTCACTTTTTCACTTTTTCACTTTTTTTTTTCTATTCCATTTCTAACAGGTTTCCTCTGAAATTCAATGCAGTTGTAGGATAAGATAATATAATCAACTACACACAAGACAAGACAAACTAGAGAGAAAGAGAGAGAGATAAATTGAATTGAGTGAGTTATTGGTTAAGATAACTTTAAAGAAACAGAGTAGAGTAAACGAACAAACACACATACAGTACATGATATAATCCCGAACACAGATTATTGTTTGTATGTTTTAATGTTTTTGGCTTTTTGTTATTGGAAATTTTTCACTTTGTCTCGTTGTTGCAGGTTCTTTTCTATTAGTCTCTCTCTTTATTTCTCTCTCTGGTATATTATCTACAGTTTTGAAAAAGAAAAATTAATTCTCTCCTTAACGTTTTTACACTGGCTGATGATGATGTATATTGTTCTTTCTCTTGCTGTTCACTGGACATTTTCCGTTTATTTTCTAATATCATCATCCATCATCTTAATTTTGTTTCTTGACAATTGAGTTGAGTTGAGTTCACTTTGAGTTCATCAGCATCTTTCGAAATGTGGTTTATGTTTACTATTGTCATTATACTTGATGCAATTGTAAGAAAGTTGAGTACAGAAGGGAGTGAAAAAAAAATAAATTTTTTTTTTTCACTCTTCCCTCACTCAACTTTATCGATATATACCTTAAACTGACTATATACCTAATGCCAATTGACCTTTCTTGTCATCAATTGTATATAAAGAGGCCATAATTTCAACTCAATTGCTAATTTCGAATTCCTTTCTCATTTCAATTTATCTATTTCATTATATATATTCTTCTTACTTTGTTTCTTTGTACAGAACAGTATCAGATCTTTTTATCAAATTTATCATATACAGGTAACTTTTAAGTTCTTTTCAAATATACCAATAATATTATCCTTTTAATTTATAATACCTTTTAATAATTAATAAATTAATAATTTTTTAATTAAAGGATCAATATTTAATAATAATATACATTACAAATTTTAATACCCTGTTAATTTTTAGTAGCTGTATTGATATTAATTTGAAATAAAAAGAAAAAATCAAACCCATTATAATATAAAAATGTCTGATTCTGAAGAAGTAATTAGTCAAGAAAAACCACCACAAGAGTACTCTGACTCTTCATCTTCCTCTTCCGATGAAGATGAAGATATCGATGCTTTAATCGAAGACTTACAATCTAACCACGGTGGTGACGACGATGATGATGAAAGTGAAGATGAACATGTCGCCGCTGGTGAAGCTAGAGTTATTCCAGAAGAAATGTTACAAACCGACCCATCTTACGGTTTGTCTTCTGATGAAGTCGCTAGAAGAAGAAAGAAGTACGGTTTAAACCAAATGTCTGAAGAAGTTGAAAACTTATTCATTAAATTCTTAATGTTCTTCATTGGTCCAATTCAATTCGTTATGGAAGCTGCCGCTATCTTAGCTGCTGGTTTGTCCGATTGGGTCGATTTCGGTGTTATCTGTGGTTTGTTAATGTTAAACGCTACCGTTGGTTTCGTTCAAGAATTCCAAGCTGGTTCTATTGTCGATGAATTAAAGAAGACTTTAGCTAACTCTGCTATCGTCATCAGAGATGGTCAATTAGTTGAAGTTCCAGCTAATGAAATTGTTCCAGGTGACATTTTACAATTGGAAGATGGTACTATTATTCCAGCCGATGGTCGTTTAGTTACCGAAAACTGTTTCGTTCAAATCGATCAATCTGCTATTACTGGTGAATCTTTGGCTGTCGACAAACATTACGGTGACCAAGCTTTCTCTTCTTCCACTGTTAAGAGAGGTGAAGCTTTCATGATCGTTACTGCTATTGGTGACAACACTTTCGTTGGTAGAGCTGCTGCTTTAGTTAACCAAGCTTCTGGTGGCCAAGGTCATTTCACTGAAGTTTTGAACGGTATCGGTGTTATCTTGTTGGTTTTGGTTATTGTTACTTTGTTGGTTGTCTGGACTGCCGGTTTCTACAGAACTGTTAACATTGTTACCATTTTGAGATACACTTTAGGTATTACTATTGTCGGTGTCCCAGTCGGTTTGCCAGCTGTCGTCACCACTACCATGGCTGTCGGTGCTGCTTACTTGGCTAAGAAGCAAGCTATTGTCCAAAAATTGTCTGCTATTGAATCTTTGGCTGGTGTCGAAATCTTGTGTTCTGACAAGACCGGTACTTTGACTAAGAACAAGTTGACTTTACATGAACCATACACTGTCGAAGGTGTATCTGAAGATGACTTAATGTTGACTGCTTGTTTGGCTGCTTCTAGAAAGAAGAAGGGTTTGGATGCTATTGACAAGGCTTTCTTGAAATCTTTGATCCACTACCCAGTTGCTAAGGATGCTTTGACTAAATACAAGGTCTTGGAATTCCACCCATTTGACCCTGTTTCCAAGAAGGTTACTGCTGTTGTCGAATCCCCAGAAGGTGAAAGAATTATCTGTGTTAAAGGTGCTCCATTGTTCGTTTTGAAGACTGTCGAAGAAGACCATCCAATTCCAGAAGATGTCCATGAAAACTACGAAAACAAGGTTGCTGAATTGGCTTCTAGAGGTTTCCGTGCTTTAGGTGTTGCTAGAAAGAGAGGTGAAGGTCACTGGGAAATCTTAGGTGTTATGCCATGTATGGATCCTCCAAGAGATGATACTGCTCAAACTGTCAACGAAGCTAGACATTTAGGTTTGAGAGTTAAGATGTTAACTGGTGACGCTGTCGGTATTGCTAAGGAAACTTGTAGACAATTAGGTTTGGGTACCAACATTTACAATGCTGAAAGATTAGGTTTAGGTGGTGGTGGTGACATGCCAGGTTCTGAATTAGCTGATTTTGTTGAAAATGCTGATGGTTTCGCTGAAGTTTTCCCACAACACAAATATAAGGTCGTCGAAATTTTGCAAAACAGAGGTTACTTGGTTGCTATGACTGGTGATGGTGTTAACGATGCTCCATCTTTGAAGAAGGCTGATACCGGTATTGCTGTTGAAGGTGCTACTGATGCTGCTAGATCTGCTGCTGATATCGTTTTCTTGGCTCCAGGTTTATCTGCTATTATTGATGCTTTGAAGACTTCCAGACAAATTTTCCACAGAATGTATGCTTACGTTGTTTACCGTATCGCTTTGTCCTTACATTTGGAAATCTTCTTGGGTCTATGGATTGCTATTTTGAACCACTCCTTGGATATTGATTTAATTGTTTTCATTGCTATTTTCGCTGATGTTGCTACTTTGGCTATTGCTTACGATAATGCTCCATACTCTCCAAAACCAGTTAAATGGGATTTACCAAGATTATGGGGTATGTCTATCATCTTAGGTATTCTTTTGGCTATCGGTACTTGGATTCCATTGACCACCATGTTCTTACCAAAGGGTGGTATTATCCAAAACTTCGGTTCCATTGATGGTGTTTTGTTCTTGGAAATTTCCTTGACTGAAAACTGGTTGATTTTCATTACTAGAGCTGCTGGTCCATTCTGGTCTTCTATTCCATCTTGGCAATTAACTGGTGCAGTCTTCGCTGTCGATGTCATTGCTACTATGTTTACCTTATTCGGTTGGTGGTCTCAAAACTGGACTGACATTGTTACTGTCGTCCGTATCTACATCTGGTCTGTCGGTATTTTCTGTGTCTTAGGTGGTGCTTACTACTTGATGTCTGAATCTGAAACCTTTGACAGATTGATGAACGGTAAGCCATTGAAGGAAGAAAAGCCAACCAGATCTGTTGAAGATTTCTTGGCTGCTATGCAAAGAGTTTCTACTCAACACGAAAAAGAAAACTAAATGTCATAATATTAATCTGTCATTTTTTTCTCTTTCAATCATTTTTTGATTTTTGATAAAAGTTCATTAGCTGTTTTCTCTCGCTGAATTTTCTGGTTTGATCATTTCACTTACACACAATACACACACATTGTGATATGATCTTAATTATTGATTTTTTATTGTTTTTGTCTTACACACACTACACACACTGATAATACAATATAATTTCAATCCCAAGATATTTTAAAAGAATAAAACTTCTAATTGTTTTTATTTCAATCTCTTCATATGATAATTTTAAAAATTCCGCACACACAATAATATTGGAATTCACTATTCACATTAATTTTATATTGCACGCACACTTAATTTGTTCTCAAGACATTAATAATTTTATTTAAATTGCACAAGCACATCATATAGTCATTTTTTAATTTTAATAGTTTTATTTGTTGCCCTTAATATATACTATAATCATTGTATTAATACTTTGCTTTCTAAAGGTTTGTAAGTATCATAAGTGTAAAGATATTCCGATTGAAGAGGTTTTCTTCTCAATTACCTACTTTGCATTTAAGTTGTATGTCTTTCAAGATTTAGCTAAGAAATAAATAGCAATGTCAGTTAACCAAAAATAGTATCATCACAATATATATGAATTTACTCCCATCAGGTAATACCTAGAACTGATAATAACCTATTCTGACCAACGTCATTTAGTTAAATTTTTTTTTCCCTGTAAAATTGTCAATTAGTGACGTTTTTCTTTTCTTGTGTTTAGGTATAAAGCCCTTAAATTACATCATATCTACCACATTTCTAACTTCAAGATGTCTTGGCATCTTCCAGATCTTCCAGATCTTCCAGTCCCATCCTCTTCCAATACAATTATTTTAATAGGAGAAGTTCAGCTTGGTATATCGTAAGTGACATATCTATAATGTTAAGATTTAGATTTTAGTTACCCGGAGTTGAGTTAGTTTTCGATATCGAAATTTTGTGAGAAAGGAAAAGGAAAAGGAAAAGGAAAAAGGACCAAACCGTCGTCAATTTAGTTAACATTAGTTGAATATTGCCTGATCGAAAGGGTCTAAAGATTAGACTTTATATAAAGTGTATTCCTTAAAATTTTATGGTCCAGAAGCACTAGGATTACAGAATCATAATAAGATCTGCTGCTGAAATAATTTTGAGTTAGTTATTTGAATTTCGATAGGATATTTGAAATTTGTTTTTTTTTTTTTTTTTGGGAAACTTCAACTAAAAAAATAAAACTAAAGAAGAATTTAGTTTCAAAGAAGAGACTCACGTCATATTATTGTCTATTCGGTTTGGATTATACACTGTGTATTACTGTTATCCAGATTGTGCAAGACTTGACGTAATACCTATCTTTGATTGTAATTGAGATATTTTTATTACGAGTTTGTTTCCATTCTTTTACATTATTAGTGTATTAGAAAGCTCTCAGTTTACAATCTAGTTTGCCTCTAATTCAAAAAGCCTTACATCATTATACTATATAGTTAATTACAAAATCAAGCTTTTCACATTTTGGCACAATTATCAGTTTAGCAGGTTATAACTTAAGAGAAGAAAAGTAAATCAGGTTATATTATTAAGTTATGACTGTTTTTATTGGTATATATAAAGCTATTTACAATTACGAACCTCAAACACCAGATGAATTGACTATTCAAGAAGATGATTTATTGTATCTCCTGGAAAAATCAAATGTCGATGATTGGTGGACTGTAAAGAAGAGAGTAATAGGTTCTGATATAGATGAACCAGCCGGTTTAGTTCCATCCAATTATGTTGAAGTTGCTGATGTAATTTCTCAAGTCAAAGCTGTATATGATTATCATGAAGTTCAAAATCCTGATGAAGAACTAGTATTTAATGAAAATGATACATTCGATGTATATGATGATAAAGATCCTGACTGGATTTTAGCTCGTTCGATCTCTACGAACCAATTCGGTTTTATTCCAGGGAACTATGTAGAACCTCTTAATGCAGAAACAGGTTCCGCTGTTCCACCATCACAGCCAGCTGCTGCCGCAGCATTGCCACCCCCAATAGCAACTTCAGCTACATCCCCACCCGCTCCAGCTCTAACGGCTATTGATATATCAACACTACCACCACCTCCACAGCATTCGTCGAAAACAAATGCTCAGGCCTCTGATTCTGGAAATCGTGATTATGCTGATAAAGACTTACCAGATCTACCTCCAAATAAGCCTTCAAGATCTAATACTGAAACAAATGAAGATGATTATTATGATGCACCACCAACAAAGCCTGCGAGACCAAATTCAACCTCAAATGAGCAAGATACCAGACAAAAGGCACGTAGTAGGACATCATACTATGACCAGCACTACGAAGACGATGCTGAGGATTATAGAAGCTCACAACGTGATGATGACTATAATGATTCAGAACCATCAGGTGAATTACGTACATGGAATGTAGCTGAAATAGAAGGCCGTAAGAAACGTAAGGCCAAGTTATCTATTGGTAATAATAGGCTATTTTTCTCTCCACAAAAGGGTAGTCCTCAAGACTGGTCTGTCGATAAACTGATCTCTTATGATAATGAAAAGAAGCACCTATTTTTGGAATTTGTTGATCCCTATAAGAGTCTAGAATTACACACAGGTGATAATGATACTTGTAAAGAAATTTTGTCTGTGATTGGAGAAATTAAAGGCGCCTCCCGTGATCCAGGATTTAAAGAAGTTGAAATGGCTTCTAAATCGAAGAAGAAAGGTAATGTATTATATGATTTTACTGCTGAATCAAATGACGAATTGACAATTAAGCAAGGTCAAGTTGTATATATTATTAATGATCAAAAATCAAAAGATTGGTGGCTATGTGAATTGATCGATTCAGGTAAAAGAGGTGTCGTCCCTTCTCATTTTATTGAACCTATTCAAGAAAAATTGACGTCATCCCACACTGGTGGTTTGTTTAAATCAATTAAAAAGTTTGCTAAAGGTGGAAAGTCTTCTAAGGCCTCCGATGACGCTTATTCTGGTAGTTGGGAAGATGATGGAATGGAAGGAAGTACTGAAAGAAGAAGTAGGTCCGGTTCCTACTCAACAAGGAAAAGAGCATCTTCAACTACTAGTAAGAAGGAGCTTCCTAATCCAAAGAAGTCCCGTATTTGGGAAGATAGATCCGGTACATTCAAGGTTGAAGCCCAATTTATTGGTTGTAAGGAAGGTAAGGTTCACTTACACAAAGCTAATGGTGTCAAGATTGCAGTTGCAGCTGAAAAACTTTCTGATGATGATTTGGTTTATGTCGAAAGAGTAACAGGGTTCAGCTTAGATAAGTATAAGGTCAGAGGTTCGGGCACAAGTTCAAGTAGACAAGATCCAAGAGAGAGCGAACGTGAAAGAAGAAGAAGATTAAGAGAAAATGATGAAAAAGACCGTGATAGAAGATTAAGGGAAAGGGAATTAAACGAGTTGCAGAAGGCAAGACAACTATTGGATAATGAAAGAACAAAATTGCAGGAGCAAAATGAACAACCTCCTAGTAAACCACCAAGACCAAGTTCTGGAATGGGTAATCGTTCACGTTCTCAGTCTACAAAGGACAACTATGACTGGTTTGAATTTTTCCTAAACAGTGGTGTAGATGTCAGTAGTTGTCAGCGTTACACATCCAATTTCGAAAAGGAACGTATAACTGAAGATATGATGGTTGATATTAATGATTCAATACTGAGAACTTTAGGTTTGCGTGAGGGTGATATAGTTCGTGTGATGAAATATTTAGATAAGAAGCTAGGTAGGGATGTCTCACCTCAAACAGCTGTTGTCGCCGGCGGTATGTTCTCTGAAGCAGATGGTTCATTGAAAAATAATAATTCTGAAAATCAATCATCTGTTGGACAACAGTTGCTACCAAACAATCCAGATCTAGTATCCAATACACCTATTGATGACGATACATGGACTGTAAGACCTGCTGCAAAATCAGAAGCAACTTTAGCACCTAAAACTGCTGAGTTCACAGGCTCAATGCAAGATTTATTGGATTTAAAACCATTGGAGCCTAAAAAGACCGAGCAACTCCCAATAGCTAACTTGGCTGTTACAGAGAGTGTTGTTCCAGAACCAAATTTGAAGAACTTAGAACCTGTTAGAACAGGTAATGTCGTGCAAAAACCGTTGGCTAATACATTGACAGGAGGCGCTACTTTGGTACCACTAGATCCATTCAAGACAGGTGGTAATAATGTATTACCTGTGACCACAGGTTTTGTTATGATGCCATTTGCAACTGGTGGCGCCATGCCTATTCAAAGAACTGGTGGTATCATTGTTCCACAAACTACATTCGGTACTAATGCAGCTGGAGGTATCATGCCTGCCCAGATAACTGGTGGTTTGATACCCGTTGCAACAACTGGTGGCCTAATGCCTCAAACCTCATTTGGTGTAACACCTGTAGCTAATGTAGTTCCATTGCAAAGAACTGGTGGTGCGGTCATGCCGATAGCCACTACTGGAGGTGCTAATATATTACCACAGACAACTTTCAATTTACCTCCAAGTGGTACTGTGTTACCAATACAGAGAACTGCTAATGGATTGATGGCTGCTAATACCACAGGAGGTATGATGCCTTTAAACACAACAGGAGGGATGATGCCTCTAAATACCACAGGAGGTATGATACCTTTAAACACAACAGGAGGTATGATGCCTATGAACACTACCGGTGGAGTTATGTCATTGCAACGTACAGGAGGTATGATGCCTCAAACATCATTTGGTACTCAACAAATGACTGGTGGTGCAATGAACATGATGCCCCAGATTTCATTTGGCGCTCAACAGATGACTGGTGGTGCAATGAACGTGTTTCCACAAACTTCATTTGGCGCTCAACAAATGACTGGAGGTGCTATGCAAAATCCTAACATGGGTACTATGCAAAACCCTAACATGGGTGTTATGCAAAACCCAAACATGGGTGCCTTCCAACCTAAATCTCAATTTGGTATGACATTACAGAGAACTGGTGGTGCAATGGCTCAGCCAATTATGGATGCTGGAGTTACAGGGATAGCTCAAGGTGTTCAAAATATGTCTATGGCACAACCTCTGCAAAATCAACCAACAGGATTTGGATTCGGTAATGGACCTCAACAACCTGTACAAGCAAATATATATAACGCTTCTGCAAGTAACCCATTCGGCTTTTAAATTAGTCACTGTATATTATTAGAATTATTATATATGTTATAATGAACATTTACTTAATGACGCGATGGAGATTTTACTAACTTCAAAATTTTAGCAATTGCATTCAGCTTATGAGTTCATAAATTAGTCACCTCGAAAGCCAATGCTATTAGAAAAATTAAATTAAGAATCAAGTTTAAATTAAAGAAGTCAATTAATTGAAAAATGAGATATAAAGTTAATAAATAATTTAAATTAGAAATAATGTGTTGGACATTAGATTATTAAAGATAGACAAAATAGTGACCAGCATTTATTTACTACCATTCTTGTACCTGGACACCATATGGACTCTTTTTTGTACCCACAATTGGACGAATTAATGTAGAACCACCTTCAAGGAATGAGAATTTTCTTTTTCTCATTTCTTCATATTTAGATATGAATTGATCCTTTTGCATTGTAATACCAATATCATCCAAACCGTTTACCAAACAATGCTTTCTAAACTCCTCTACATCAAAATGATCTACTAGAATGTTATTATCGGAATCCAATATTTGTTGTTTAGGTAGATCAACTACCAGATTCTTTCCTTCCCTAGAAATTGGAATTAATTTTTGTAAAATTACATCTTGATCCAATCTTATAGGAAGTAATCCATTCTTGAAGGAGTTATTGTAGAAAATGTCACCAAAAGATGGTGCAATAATACATTGAATACCAAAATCCTTTAAAGCCCAAGGCGCGTGTTCTCTTGATGAACCACAACCAAAGTTGTCACCTGTAACAACCAGAATTTCAGCTTTTCTATAAGGTGCAACATTTAAAACGAAATCTGTTTCCTGATCATTGCCTTCGTCATCCTTTGCAAATCTCCATTCATAGAATAATCCGGACTTCAAACCAGTTCTTTTTATAGTTTTCAAGAACTGCTTAGGAATGATAGCATCCGTATCAACGTTTTGTTTATCCAATGGAGCTGCAATACCTTCCAAAACAGTGAATGGCTTCATTCCCGATGGAGCTGGATCACTCTTTGTAGTAGTCGAAATAGGAATATCATCTATTTCATCTTCTGCAACTTCTTCTGGTGCATCAGTAGGCTGAACTGGCTCCTTCTCATGCTTATATACCGACTCTTGCAGAGCTTCATCGTCTTTTCCACCATTTACTGAAATTTTTGGACTATCTTTATCTTCGTATTCAAATTCTCTAATATCTACAAAGTGACCATGTATACCAGCAGCTGCGGCCATAGCAGGTGACATTAAATGGGTTCTGGATAATGCACCTTGACGACCTTCAAAATTTCTATTTGAAGTTGAAGCACATCTTTCATGTGGATCTAAGATATCTGGATTCATACCCAGACACATCGAGCAACCTGCTTCTCTCCACTCAAAACCAGCCTCTAAAAATATTTTATCTAGACCTTCGGATTCAGCTTGTTTTTTCACTAAACCAGAACCAGGAACCACCATGGCTCTTTTAATATTTGGAGCTATTTTCCTCCCTTTGACTACAGCTGCTGCGTTTCGTAGATCCTCAATTCTTGAATTTGTACAAGAACCAATAAATACTTTATCGACTTTTATTTCTTTTAGTGGGGTGTTGGCCTCCAAACCCATGTATTTCAAAGCTCTCTCCATGCTCATTTTTTTGATTGGATCATCTATATTAGCTGGATCTGGAACGGAAGCAGAAATTGGAAGTGCATCTTGAGGAGAAGTACCCCAAGTGATAGTTGGAACAATTTCTTCTGCCAAAATGGTAACTTCTTTATCGAAGATTGCATTATCATCTGTATATAAAGTTTTCCAATAAGCAACAGCTTTTTCCCACTCGTCACCATTTGGAGCTAATGGTCTACCTTTAACGTAGTCGAAAGTGGTTTGGTCTGGTTTAATTATACCTGCTCTTGCACCTGCTTCAATTGACATATTGCACATTGACATACGGGCTTCCATTGATAGCTTTTCTATAGCCTCTCCTGCAAATTCAATAACACAACCAGTACCACCAGCAGTACCGATGACACCAATTATGTGTAAAATCAAATCTTTCGAAGTGATTCCGTTTTTCAAAGAACCTACTACATTTATTCTCATATTTTTGGATCTTGTTTGAATAATGGTTTGAGTGGCCAATACATGTTCTACTTCTGAAGTTCCAATACCGAAGGCTAAAGCACCAAAAGCACCATGAGTGGAGGTATGAGAATCGCCACAAACCACAGTAGTGCCAGGTAGAGTAAAACCTTGCTCAGGACCAATAACATGAACAATACCTTGTCTTGATTCAGTCATACCAAAGAATTTTACACCGAAATTTTTCACATTATTCTCTAAAGTTTCAACTTGTAGCCTTGAATCAGACTGTTTAATAAAAGTCTTTGTTGACTTGAAATTTTTCCTTGAAACTGTTGGTATATTATGATCTACAGTAGCTAAAGTACAATCAATTCTTCTAACTTTCCTTCCAGCATTTTTCAAACCTTCGAAAGCTTGAGGAGAGGTAACTTCATGAACCAGATGTCTATCGATGTAAATTAAATAAGAACCCGAATCATCTCTATGGACAAGATGAGCATCAAAAATTTTATCATAAAGGGTTTTACCCTTTGAACCAGTATCCGACATTACAAAATGTATACACTATATTGCAGAAATGTAGATACGTACTTGATTAAATGGTAACAGTTGATACAAAATGTATATACAATTATAAACTAAACTGTATTTGAAAAAGATATCATCAAAACTAGGAATGAAAAACAAACAAACACAAACATTACTCTTATCATAGTGGTTTAAATAATGCATCCCCCTTAGTACAAATTTCCCCCTCTAGATGAAATGCAAACATGAATGTTAATTAAGGTTTAATAAAAAATGAAACTTAATCACCGTCTCCGGCAAACGTAGGTGACTAATTTTCCAAATAAGTGATGAATCGATTAGAATAACGTTATGCAATCTATCTTAGTCCTTGATTACAACTACAACTACAACTATAACTACGAGTACAATTGTAATAGTAATCGGATGCTAAAACATTACATTTGAGCGATGAGATATTCAGTTTGTAATAGATTATACAATGTATAGAATAGAGTATAACTTAACAAGAAGTTAATAGCTGGAACGCAAGGTAGACTTGATGTAAGTGAACACAGCAAGACACTGTTGCCAATCTGGATGAACAAATAGCAGCTATCCTATCCAGCTATTTGTTGTCGTTGTCGTTGTCGTTGTAGTTGTAGTTGTTGTCGTTGATGATGGTAATATTGCATTGCATTGCATGAATTGATAGTGATATTGTGTGTTACACATTAGTTGGTAATACATATAGTATGGGCTGATTTTTCCATATGAATGGAATAGGTATCAATCAATTCGAGCAAAGTGATCGAAGCCAAAGCCGAACACGAGAGACCTCGGCTCGGTAAAAAACACAACGACAACGACCGTTCAATAGGAAGCGAAGAGAAATGAAGGGTTCCGGTACAGGCAACCGGCCAACACGAAACACCGATACCGGCATGAATTTTACTAAGAAAAGAATCATACTATATAGCCATATACAACAACCAATGCCATCATGTCGATGCTGTTAGTGCTATTTAATTATATATCGACGACTGATTCTTAACTGTGTCTATATTTATATGACAGTCCAATTCTTAATTCTGGTATCAGCAATGAGTGATTTGAATATGTATAACGAGAGAGTACAGGAAACCGGATGGAAATATTAATCAAGGATAGCAGTGTAGATTAGTATAGTATTGTATGGTATAAAGGGTTCTTTATTTGTCCTTTAGCTCTTGACTCTTGTCCTAGATTAGCTAAGATACACAACAGCATCCAATTGTCATTTGTACTGACTGGACTTATGCATTATCATCGTTTCCTATCTTTCTGGTAAATTTTATGTTATAACTTGTTCTTTGAACCTAAAAACTTCAAATAAAAAAACTCATCGCATCAATACGATTTGATTTGATCAAGAATTGGTAAACGAACGCTTGGTTGATTAGAAAAAAACATGCTTATATATGTTCGAATATAAGTGGATATGACTTTTAAACTCAATGAAAGTGTCCAGATGCTGTATTGCTTGCAATGTTTCAATTATTAAGGTTTTCTAGAATTCATAAAAGATCGATCTCTTCATTCTACGAGTTATTCCCAAAAAATTTCCCAAACGGAAAACCTGTTTGGTCTATCGATAACAATAAATTACGTAAAGAATATAGATCACTGCAATCGAAATTTCATCCTGATGCAATTGCTTCAAATCATGAAGACAACGATAATAAAAACCTGTCTTCTTTGATAAATAAAGCTTACCAGACTTTAAAAAATCCCTTGGACCGCTCACAGTATTTATTAAAATTGATTAAAAATATCGACCTTTCAAATGAAGAAGTTGCACAAAATTTAACTCAGAACGATCCAAATCTTTTACTCACTGTCTTGGATGTACATGAACAATTAGAAGATATAGATAATGATTTCGAAAATATTAAAGAAATTGAACTAGAGAACAAGAAAAGAATCATGAACATTGAACAAAATTTAAATACCCTTTATGAAAATCAAGATTATGATAAGATAGCAAAGTTAACCATCGAATTAAAATACTGGGTGAATTTATCAAAAGCTATTAAAGAATGGGAACCCAGAGTTAAAAACCAATAAATTAATCATTTTAGCCTCATCGCTTTCAATGGTTATTATCATTTGTAAATATTCAAACTATCTTTAAACTCGAGTTACAGATTTTATTTCATCCTAATTAAGTGTTCAAATTAGTTATATAGGCATTATATGAATAAAGTATAATAATAATATATACATATACACACACTCATCTATATGTATACATATATTATAATCTCCCTTTATATCTATTAATATTATCAATATCAGAAATTTAATGTTATAAGTTTATGAAGTAAAGTGTCAAAGAGAGACCTAACACCAACCAATCATTATTAGTATTATTACTATATAAATATATATGTATTTTGTTTATTTCAATAATAATTCATCAGGAATTTCGAATTCACATTTATTGAACTCTTCCCATTCCTCCTTGGTACTAGGATATTGTCTTAACCACTTCATTCTTGGTCCGGAAACAGCAGAATCACTTATTTTAAATCCAAATACTTTCAATTCATATGATTCTTTAACTTTCTTTTCAACATAATCTTCAAGTTCTTTAAAATGTTTTAAAAATATACCTGGGAAACTGGTACCCCAGAACGCACCTTCCAAACATAAATGACGAGAAGATTGTGGTAGATATAAATCTTGACAACTTGGACAATACAATCTTACAGTATGCTTTCCTATAGTATCACTTAATCCACATGGCAACAATTGCATCCCACCACAGTAGTAACGAGGACATGTACCAAATTCTTTATGATCAAACTTTTCTGCCATTGCCTGCAAACCTGGCTTGGTTAAAATGTATCTAGCATGGATTAAACCATACAACTGTTCCGCAGAATGCTCTATTATATTTCTATTAACAACTTCGGTGTTGTTATTACTATTACTATTACTGTTATTGTTATTGTTATTATCCTTACGTAGTTGGGTGCTATCCATATCATCGTCTTCATCGTCTTCACTAACAGCTTCAAGATCCAATATCAAATCCAAAGCCTTTCTATAATGCGGAACCTCTTGAGATAAAGACGTCATATTAAAATCATCTTCAATGAAATCTGCAGGTACCTGACAGAAATATTCATGGCCAAACCTGGTACAAAATGATGGTATCCATTCATCATAACCTCCACTTTCTTCTTCCGACGAACCAGCATGCGAATGGTCCCCAATATATTCCTGAGACATATTCAATACCGACTTACAATCTTATAGCTTATCAAAACCACACCAACCTAAATCCAAATCAACAAATATATAGTCCTCTTAACCATTAAAACAACCTCCTTACCACCAATTAAACATACCTTTCTTATATACTCTACGTCTTGATTTTTTTTTTCCATCATCAATTAAAGCCTTTGCTTTAATTTCGATATTCGAAAACTTGTCAATAATTTAAAGCTTTAAAAAAATATTAAGAATCGAGTGATAGATAGTATTTAGTAAGATAGGATGTGATTTATTAGTTAATTGTGTAAGAAGGTGTTGGTTTAAGAGATTGGTAAGGTTCGGTTTTTTATTTGTGGTTGCAGAGAGTATTGGATTTTATTTTTGTTTGGTTTTTATAGGGTTTTTTCGTTAGCTAGTTAGTGGAGGAGGACATCTATAATACACGTACGTTTCAAAATTTATATTTCAAAGGAAGCCACATACACAGCAGGACATATATAAAAATAAAAATAAAATGAATTGGGTCATAATTGCTGCTTTATTTTTTGTAATAATTAATAAGTTGTTACAGTATACTTCTAGATATCAGGAAGCATGGATTAATAAATTTTCGATTTCTTCTGATATTAGTTCGTTATCTAAAGAATACTCAAAATTGTCTGCTGAGCGTTTAAAAATAAAAGAAGAAAACCAGTCTATATCTGCTCAGGATAACTACGCTCGTTGGACTAAAAATAATAGAAAATTAACTAAACTTGAAGGTGAATTAGAGAAATTACGTTCGAATTTGAAAATCGCTAAAGATTCTCAATCAAAATTGTTTAACAGATTAAAATTATTAACTTTAACTTTGCCTTTCATGATTTTAAAGTTATGGAAGGGGAAATTCATAGTTTATGATATCCCAACAAAAGATACATTCCCTGTAATTGTAAATGGTGTACTATCCCAAGGTTTATTGTACATCCCATTATTACCAATTAATTTCTTAAGAGGTATTGATCCAAACAAACATATTCTTGTCCCAGGCGTTTCCCTAGGTATATGGTTAATGGCATTGACCAAAACTATCGATACTGTCGAGTTTATCGTTAAGCAATTGGTCTTCCAACCTGTCGTTTCAAAGCAAGTAAAGGAAAAAACTAAGGAAAAGGTTGTTGAATTGAAAACCACCGAAGCAGAATTAGATTAGTTTATACCAAGAGAAGATGTGCTCTGATTAATATCATAACTAATCACTATTGTACCTTTTCTCTGTTACATCAGTTCATTGATTGAATAGACTTTCACGATCATCTCTTCGTGATAGCTTTATTTATTTTGTGAGTGAAAAAACAAGTTAATCATCCTCCAAGAATGTAATGTCATTTATAATTTAAAATTATCATAGATAAAAATCATATACTCAAATTTAAAGTATCATTTTGCTAATTTCTAATAATTTGATTTCCAAGAATTTGTAACGTTAACGATTTATTAACTTTCTCTTGCTTAGTCCCCAAATTAATAAAACAAAAGAAAAAACTTCTTGGAAATTTAATTATCAATTGATATACAGATTTCCTAGTTGACCTAATTTCAATTGCTGAGCAACATAAACTAGAAATATGCATCAACAACATTATTCTTGTCATCTTTCTAATCTTGTTACTATTTACATTATTGATCTAGTCACATGACTAGGACAGATCAGTGCAGTAAATTCTAATATCCTCAACTATTAAAATAACGATTGGTTACTGAATCATTTAAACAGATGATTGCAAGAACGTTTTTAAATGTGTATCAAACAGATATCACTCAGAGTGCCTACCTGGTTTGCAAGAGAGGGCTAGAGGGAATGGTGAACATGTCTAAGGATTCTGAAGATGTTCCTATTGAGAATGAGCCAATATCAGCTACTGAAGATACCAATGATGACGAAAATATAGAAGTTACAGAAGTTAAAGAAGTCAAGGAAATTAAAGATGTTAAAGAAGTCAAGGAAGCTAACGAAGATGACGAGGTACCTAAGGAACAGGGCGAATTGAATGATGATGATGATGATGATGATGATAATTCTAGCGATGATTTTGGTAATTTTTCAGATGCTTCCATAGAACAAGATGAGGGACCAGTTGATGGAGACCTAATTAATAATTATTTAGATGCTATATTTCCTTCAAATTTATACGAAGATAAAAGTGACCCTGAAATTGAAAGAAAACTTGTAGAATTAGTATCCGATGAAAGACCTGCTGTTATTTATGAACAATTGGTACAATTGGACACCGTGTTGGTGCCTTTTATTTGGAATAAATCCTTCATAAAATCAACTTTATTGCATATACTAAGGATTAATGATGATGCCGTTGATATTAACCCAGTTATGGAAGAAAAACCTTCAGATGATTCGTTGTTCTCAAGAATACTAAATACTATTAATAGTAATATTCAACCTACGAATACAATAATGGCTGATCAATTCAAATTTAAATATATACCACCATTAACACATAGATCATTAATTGAGGAAGAGGAGAAGGAACAAGAATCAAATATACCGAGACTAATAGCAATGGATGTGGATAGTTTAGAGTCAAATTCGGCTGTTTCAGAATTACAACAATATCATGATCAACTGTGTAATGCAATTGATTTATTATATGTCAAACTAAAAGTTTTAAGTAAGCATGAGAATGACTTAATAAGAGATAAGACAACGTTTGAAAATGTGGTTACAAACTTAACAAGTCATGCGCAAAGATTACATAGGGATGAGATTGCAAATTATAACAAGAAAAAGAAGCATAGATATAGCTGGATAGGACGTTAATGTAATTTCTTAATCATATACCGTATATAAATTATATTACTATAGAAGTGATGAATTAATTCAGAAAATAATTAGAGTTAAAAACCAATGATTTGAAAATAATTGTTTCAAAGATTAATTATACCCTCAAATCAAAATCTGGTCTCTTGGAACCCTTTCTTTTTAGGGCCTTAGTGCTTGATCTTTCGAAGGTACCTACATCGCCGAGATCTCTACCTTCTGCATCTTCATCTCTTAGTTTATAAATTCTAACCATCCAATTTTCGGAGGTGAATACTTCTTCAAAATAATCCAATGGTGAAACATCTGCCTGTGTAACAGTTTGACCACGTACTTTATCTTGACTTTGACCTGCGTTGAAAAGATCTGGGAAATCCTTGAAACTCATTTTGTACATCAAACTTTCCTTCATAGCCTTGGAAGCACTTCCATCTACTCTATAATCATTGTTTTCATTATAGAATGAACTTTCACTAACTTCATCTGGCCAGATACCCTCTGCAATTCTTACCATCCATAAGAATTTATTAATATCATCACCAGAGAAACCTAGAACACCACCAAAAATTACTAAAACGTAATCAACATCATGCTCTTTTAATAATGGATATGAGACCTCTTCTGGAGAAGCCATAGCTTTACCAACAATTGCAATATGGGTGTTGTTCCAAGTATTATTATCTACAAGGGTAGTTCTATCAGCCATACCACCAATTTGATAACCGTAATCCCACCATGCAGCGACCTTGGCATCTTCATCAGTGTTCATTCTTAACCAGTAATAAGCCTCACGGAAATCATCGATTAAAGTTGGCTCACCGTTTTTGTTAGTTGATGGTAAGACAACAGATGGAGATGAGTAGGCAAATCTGGTAACCCATGTGGAATGGAAAACGAATAAATAGATGTAAAAAATAAAAGTACCGGAAACAAATAAACGAGAGATATAGTTAGTGAATTTCCATGTAGGTTTTTCATCTTTATGGGAGAAATTTCTTACGACATCGGAAAAGTCTAAGTATACATCAAATAATTTTGATAAAGCGACAGCAGCTGAAACACAAACAATTGGTGTCAGTGTTAACATCAATCTGACCATAACACCTGTGAAGTAAGAACATAGTACGGAATAAGCAATAACAAATACATGTTCATCTTTTAAGTCCATGAATAACAAAAACACACCTACTGGGAATAACCAAATCAAAAAGTGTGTATCGAAGAAGAAGGCTGGCCAAGCGACAGGTTGATGTTCGGAGACAGAAGCAATAATTGGAATATGGATTTTAGCGTAATTTGTATCCCATAGAGAGTAGAATCTACCAGTCCATGGTGCAATGAATCCGAAGTAAGTTAAACCGAATAGACCTACAAAGCCTAAACCTAGAATAATAATCAAAGATACGACCATAATCACTTTGAATTTTTCAGAAGGAACTTGAGATTTGACGAAGTTACCGAAAGCAACAATTTGAATCAAACCAAAGACACCTAAAGCTGCCATATGGTCATTAGATCTAATAGGCAAGAAACCGACGAAAGGAATTTGCATGGAAGCCAGAGTACCGATTGCATACCAAGTAGTGTAAGCCGAATACAAACGAGAATTGTAACGACCCATTAAAATCAAAATGAAAATATGTAATGGGATCAAATTAGTGATGAAGACGTAACCACCCCAAGCTGAGACCATGTAAAAGTAGAATACTGCTGCGGAGGTGGCGTAAAGTATGGAACCTGTTTTTTGAGCTTTGATCCATAACATGAAGGTTACCATCAACAAGGTGATAGCAATTGCTTCGTTATCATAAGAACCTGCGACGGATCTTGAGATATAACCAGGGACGATCGCGATGAATGCAGCAGCTAATAAACCTGCACTAGAATCCTTAATTTCTTTTGTGAATTCATAAGTAGCCCAAGCGGTAATACCAGCGAAACCTGGAGCGAAAAGGACACAGATATTTCTAATATCGATAGGTAAACCAATTTTACGGAACAAGTGCCATATAGCAGCACTGGTGGTCATTAGACCTGGGTATAGAGTACCACCGGTGACTCTACCTAAGGGATACCAAGTTCTATCATCGAACCAATTTAAAAATTCATAAAAAGAATGGGAAACCAAATATTTGGTAGCACGGAAATTAAACCAAGGATCGAATTCATGGATGATTGATTCGAATTTAATAACTGAGAACAATCTAGAAGAGATAGCAGCACCGAATATAGTGATGAAGATAGTAATGATTAGGATAGTTTGAATCAATTGTACCAACCAATTTGGGGTTGCGACATTGTTGGTATGCGATTTTGCATTAGTTGCGACAGAAGACATAATTATTACTGTAGGAAGAAAAAAAATATATGTATATAAGAGAATTCAAATTGAAATCCAAGTTCGAATTCAATGCAATGCAATAAAATATAGATCAAAACAGTATAATATAATTATGAGGTACCAGACGACACTAGGGGATTAATTCTGCACTGCAAAATGAAAACTTTTATTTAAACTTTTATTCTTGTATTCTTGTCTTTTAATAGTATCCTATATTTAACTTTCCCTGAATAGGATTGTATGGTATTAGAATATCTGAAATATGTGAAAAGGCCAAAAAAAGGACAACTAAAACTAAAACAAACTGAAATAGTTAGTTACAAAAGGAAGTATAATGAAATAACCAAAAGACCAAAAAGTATACAATTGACAAAGTAGGAACAGGACACCTCGATCACTAATTGTATTCCCCTTTCGATTGTTACAACGTTCAATTGAGTATTTTTAAACAACAGATTGTATTAGAATGTGAGCCCATTCAATAACTTATAGTAATAGTTGTAACGTAGTAGTTGTAATGTAATAGTTGTAATAGTAATAATAGTTATGGTAAGTAAATATCTCTCTGGTTTGGGTGGGAAAGGTGAAAGTTGATTATTTTTTCAGTGTCGTTTTTAGTGAGAGAAGAAGTTGAAACAAAACCGAAATTTTATTTTTATTTTCTTTTTTGGGGGAGAGGGAGGTTTCTCTGTTTCAGCCCATGCACGTGATTTGAGGTCACGTGAGGAATGATGCATGGCGGCCGGGTAATGCACAGATGAAGTGTGAAAGGAAAGGCAAAGGCAAAGGCAAAGGCAAAGAATGACAACACCGTCACAACACACACTTCCGCGGCAAACAGAAGTTAGGGAAGCGGGAATAAAGGGGAGGTGGTTCTTTGAGTTCTCGTTTTCTCATTCCCATTCCCATTCCCATTCTCATTTTGGTTTTGGTTTCGGCGGGATATATAAAGACGCATTGGAAAGTTGTTTTTGTTCAACTTCTTGTTTGCCACTTTTAGGAAACAGAGGTTATGTTGGTAGAGAAGAATGGATATACCGTCTATAAGCAATGGAAAGTGAAATACTACTCTGATTACTTTAAGCGTTGCTTCTTTTATAGTTTATAGTTTATAGTTTATAGTCTATAGTTTATTTTGACAAGCTGTATATTCATTTGACACTAATTAGATGTTTTGGGGGTTTATATGTGATCTATACCACCTCTTTCTATCTAGTTGATCCAATTGTTCCAATTGATCCAAGTGAGCTCCCTGTGCATTGGCGGCTGTCTCTTTTGTTCCCTCCAATACATTTCTATTTCCTATCTTCTCTCTTACCCTGCCCATTCCTCCACTCCTCTGATATCACGCGCCACGAGGCAAAATTATACTGACCGAACATAAAAATAATGATATGTATCTGCGCTATCTAGAATTTTCGAAGTTTGTATGGTGATTTATTAAACTACAACCCAAGTTGGGAATAGGATTAGAGTTGTACTGTACTGAAGGAAGGAAGAAAATTTAAATTTACAGAAAGATTGAATTTTGAAAAGAGAGAGAGAGAGTTGTTATAACAAGATGATGATTCAATGTTTAATAAGTAGGAAAAGGGACAAATGAAAGGAGAAAATAGTATGTTTTAAAAGAAATAATATTGTGAACTACAATAATAAACAGTTTGTTTAGTTAACTTTTCATTTGTTATAAGGTTTTGTGGGGGAAGTGTTATTTCGTTTATTTTCCAATTTATACATCTCTTTTTTTTTTTTTATTTATAAATATTTATCAATATTTTTTGATTTTTGTAAAGGTTGTGTGTTGTTGTGTGTTGTGTTTTAGTTGGATGTCATTGTGTTAATAATCCATTCAGCAACATATACAAAAAAAAATTTCTACAGAGTATCCCATTGTATTAATATTAATAAACACTTTTTAAGAAACGCACTAAGTTACCTGGCTCATCAAACATCTCTCCATCTGTGTGTGTTCTTTGAATTGTCTTCTTTTTTTTTTATTCATTTTATATTGTTTAAACTATTCTTTCACTTTTGCATATTTCCCCCCCCCCCCCTGGATACACAGATTTCATCATTAATCATCCTTTTTTTCTCTTTTATTCGGTTCTGATAGCAACTTCAATCGATATCTGTGGAAAGAGAATCATCGTAATTACATCCTGCTTTTGTTAGTGTTATTGATATGGAAACCGCCAATAGTGGAAAATCCAGAGAAGATTACATAACATTGAACCAAGAGCCAATAATGGTTTCCCATAGAAATTCAGTACACCATTTCCATGAATTGGAGAAACAGCCTTCGATCAAGGAAGAAGATGAGGAAGATGAAGCAGATGTGTCATTAAATGACAACATCGCCATATCTGATTTTTCTTCAGGAGATATGATTAATAGTATAGGTGCTAGTGGAGGAGGTGATCACAGTGAAATAGGAACAATTCCTTCAAATGAAACCCTGAAAGTTCAAGATTTGAAAATAGCTCCAAGTACATCTAATGAGGCCATTCCAGCTTTAAATAATAGCTCACATAGTAATATTACTAATGATAGCTCACACAGTAATATCAATATTAACAATAGCAACATTACAAATAACCAAGAGCTTAATCCCTACAGAGTACCGGCAAGCGCGTCTCAAGCTGCAAGAAAAGATAACCAACCATTATTATCTATTAATTCAACCATCACTTTTGAAAAACAAAAAGTTTTACCACATAGATCAAGAGCTCACTCCGGACAAAGTGTCTTGAGTAGTATATCTTTAAGATCGGCTTTGCAACAGCAAAATCACCAGTCATCTTCAAATGACTCAACAGACAGCCAAGTAGATACTACTCAAACTTCGGGAAGCATAATACAGAATAGTCTAATGGAAATTACACAGCAAATACAGTCACCAGCGATGTGTTCAGTTAGAAGAAAAGGTTTAAATAGTGCTGGTGCTCATGGAAGTGTGGTATCGTTACAAAGGACAAACTCAGAGAAATTAAATGATATAGGATTTCATGAACCATTTGTGGATGATAAAAGAGTGGATTTAGATGCAAATAACAATATCATGACTACCAAAAATAATCTCAAGTCAGATGATATGCACAGTGATATACAAGATAAAATTTCTCCAACTCGCATATTTAGTGCTGACGAGAAACCCAAGCCACTTGAAAATAGTAAACCTTCCTCAGTTATATCCTCTAATAAATCACCAACTATTGAAGATGATGCCAATGACGATAATGAAGAGATGCAAAAGGAATTAACAGCACAGGCCCTAAGAAACTTATCAAATATGAAAGGCCTTCAAGTATCTAATACTTTTGCATCAAGCGCACTTGATAAAGATATCGATAAAGCAAAATCAGTCTCGGAAAATGAATTAAATGAAATGAACAGCAATAGTATTACATCTATGACTCATTTACAATTTGGGAAAAAGAAAGTTTACCTCGATTCTTCTCCTAGTGCATTCGGTATTGATGCTAGTTTTAATTCAAGCCAAAACAAGAGATTAGAGGAGCAAAAGTCAAGTTCGAACGAAAGCAACTTAAATGACCAAATAAATATCCAGATAACTTCACAAAATCCAATTGAGAGCAATAAATCTAATAATAATAATATTTATCCAAATACTGGTAGAAACAAAAGGTTTGTGAAACAAATAAATGATCCGAAAAAACCTCTATATGTCCCAGCTGTTTTAAGAAATGTTTCTGAAACCAATATAACGAATGATGATGTGATATGGTCAAGTATTGTTCATAATTCCCCAAAATTCAGTGCCAATTATAATAATAGTCTTGGAAGCTATTTCAATAGTGAACCATCTTCTTCTAAGGCAAGTATACATTCGGCAAGCTCGTATGTGATAGACACATGTAAGAAGCGTATCTCTTCTTTATTCTCGCAAAATGAAGATCATGATTCATCTCTAGGTGCACCAAGTTTAGCAAAAATAGAACAAACAAAATTACCAGTGAGAACTCATTGGATTCCTGATTCTCAACGCAATTCATGCCGTTATTGCCATAAATTATTCACATTTTGGGAACGTAAACACCATTGTAGACATTGTGGTGATATCTTTTGTCAGCAACACCTAAGACATTGGCTGTATTTAAATTCTCAAGCCGAGTTTATTATTGGTGGGGGGAGTGGGATAGGTACATTATCCAAAGTGTGTGTTACTTGTGCTGAAGAATACGAGAATTTAATTAGGAGTAACGATCCTTTATCAAAACTCCAGATGGATAACCTGACACTGACAAAACTAAAGAATAAAGTAGGAAATTCTTCTTCACAAGGTGCTGGCACCAAGGTCATGAAAAATATTGACAAGGTTTCTAATTCCATCAAAATTGATAGTGATGGAAAAAATTTAAATTTAGATCCAAATGATGGTGCCGATGGCATTGAAAATAAGAAGCAAGAAAGAGAGCTTATGAATAGTGTAGTAGGATCAGTTCCGGTGGATTGGAATTGGAGTAGTTTTTAGGTATATTTTTTCATGTATTATAAGGGGAGGTGTGGTAATTATAAAGACTTTATACACCGTTTAATTTAATTTAATTAATTATATATTTATTTATATAGGATCGTCGGTTCATCTAATTTTATTCTATGATATCTATTTTACAATTTTATTATGGGCTAACAGATTTATTTAAACAATTCTATAGACATGACTAGCTGATATCGATAAAGGAAAGAGTCAATAGTAAATATAGATGAAATCTAGCATACTTATTCTTCTTTCTCACCGTGCCTTTTTTCCCAAATGGCTTTGGCAATTTTATCAGAAATATTGTTACCTTTTGATTCGAAATTTTCTACCTCAAAATCTGAGCTAGAGGATTCTGCCATAACCGAGGAGGCAGAAGAAGATGGTCTATCAACACCAGTTGAGAAAAATGGAATATTAGATAAAGAGTTGTCACTATTCATTAAAGAAATTGCATCTGATTCTTGAGTTTGTTCAACTTCAGATGTGTTTTCGCTTGAAATATTTTCCAATTTCATCTTTTGTAACTTTTCTTTCTTCTTTCTTAACATTCTTCTTCTCTTTAGCTCAGCAGTCTTTCTATCTTCAGCTTCTTCATCGATCTCATCTTCATAAATGTGAGTGTCAATATCCATGAACAATTCGGCACCTAAGGTGTTCATCACCTCCGTGATTCTGTCAGACAATTCCAGACGTTCCTTTTGTAATTTCTTCAAACCCTTTGGGGATGTTAATGAGATATATAATGGTCTTAAGGATTTAAATGTATCCATACCCATATCACCAATAATTAATGCAGAATAAGTAACCAATGAACATGTAACATACGATATACAGAAAGTCAATATTTTATTATGAGATCCGCCATAGTAAAGTGTAAACAACAAAGACCAAAAGATGTACAACAATGGTGCAAACACCATTGCCATCAAAATCTTCCATGTTGCAACGACATCCTTAGCGGTGATTTTAACTGTAGAGTTTGCTAAAGCTTGACGAGCTTTCTTTTCTGATATTCTCTTGGAAACAAGGAATATAGGTGAGAATAACAAAATACCTGGTAATGCTAAAATTACAGAAACAAAAAGAGTGATACTTCTGAATACCAACAAACATAAATTCTTTGTGAAATCAACCTTAGCAGTTTCAACTAAATGATCTGGAATATTAAACTGCTGCAAATGTGAGTTATACTTTAAGATATCATTTTTTAACTGTCTAAATTCTGGATCGTCTTTATATGTTTGATAATATTTAACAATTCTTCTATTCATTTCAACAATCATTGGTAGGGATAATTTGGTATTTAATTGAGCAGTGTACAATCTTCTCATTGCTTGGACGACCATTAAAGTTTCATAATCTGGTGTATTAACAGTGACTGCCTTCAAACCTTCAGTAACAGTATCTAACAATTCTTTGACAGCTTCTTTATTAGTTTCAGGATTTCCATATTTTACGACCAATTCCCTTGGGATTTCAATTGGATCACCAAATTCGACAACAGCTCTTGATCTAAACTTATGAGGATGGAAATAGTTCATACCACAAGGGACAATTTTAACATTTGCTTCGGCATGTTTATCCATACAACCTAAGGCCATAATTGCAACACCAGCTTTCAATGGCAACAGATCTGGTCTATCATGAGAACCACCTTCTGGGAAAATACCAATGGAACCTTTATGGTTTAAATGCTCAAATACTTGATGATAAACTTTGGATTGATCAACTTTTGGGGCAAATTTAAATGAACAACCTTTTGTAAGCAAGGACTTAATTTCAGGTTTGCTTGTTTTGAATTCTTTTCTGATGTATAACACAGTATCACTCTCTATGGTTTGAATTTCAACGAAACCTAATGACTTTGGTAAACCTAATAAACCTCTTGGTTGAACATCTTCTAAGAATTTAGTACCTTGACCATTGATTTTCAATGGATTTTCTGGATCTAAGGAAATTTTACCTCTTGCAGATTTTAAGTTATCCTGTGGTCTTACGACACCAATTGACATAATACAACGAGCTAGGAAACCTACAACTTTCATTTTTAAAGATTTTGCTGCGATTAAAAATGAAATTCTTTGGTTGACAGATTTTCTAATCTGACCAACCAAAATGACTGGATCAACGAATTGATTAGCATGTGGAGCAGCAACGAATATGACAGGGCCTTGTTTAGGGATCTTGTAACCACCTCTAGATCTAATCTCTCTGAAAAAACAGTTGAAGATATTAATCAATAACCATAAGACAAAATCATAGATCAGAGTTCTGTGAAAAGGAGGTTCTTCATACACATCTTCTAAATCTGCATCATGGGCACCTTTGGAACTCTTAGAATCCTTAGCCTTGGCAACGTCAGCTTTAGTCATAAGCGTAACCTTTTGATTTATTATCTCAGATTTATACTTTAATGAGTAGTCGAAAAATATATCTATCTAATAGTAATTGAGAAACCAAAAATAATTTCAATTACCCTTAGAAAGAATATAAGAGTGGACACAATTCAATTAATCCCTAATTACTAAAAGAACTTCTTTTAAATAACAATTAGATTGCAACTTTAGGATGATTCAGTTTTGCCTTAGTTAAAACTTTTCCAATAGAAAAATCTAGCTGCTTCAATGGAGGCTTTGTGATATGTGAAATAGAGATATACCAATAAAACAGAATAATTGATTAAAACTATTATAGAACTTGCAAAAAAAACAAGCCGTTAAAGGTTTAAGATACAACTGGTAGGATACTTGAATATTTCGTATATGTGTGAATGTAAATATATGTTTATAGTTACAATCACAATTATCGATTTTTTATTACTTTGAAATATAAAAGCAACAACGATAGTAGAGTAGAATATAACATCATAAACTGTTCTAATACCTTAAAGGCAACAATCTTGAGAAGACATCCTAGATTGGATCGGATGTAATTACTTATATATACAAATTATAAATACATGTAATTAACATAAGTGGGCATAAAAATTGGTATAAACGATTTGTGTCATTAATACGAAAGGGCATATCACATTTATCCTCTACCACTGGTCAGATGGTTTCTTATTTTACTCTGCACATCACTTGCAATCAAATGTTTTAACATAAACCCTCTTCAAACATCTAACATCAAACATCATTGGAAGCAGCAACAGTGATGCTGCATGATCAATCATTTGGAGGGGTTAATCACTTTTGATTCACTTCATTTACAATTATAATTACATTTACATTCTACAATCACAATTACAATTAACCCATAAAATGGATCAATTAAAAATAGATCAAACCATCAAGGATTTAATTCAAAAGGTTGATCTGATGATATTTTTCATTGATTCTTCAAAGTGGGGATGTTACAGAGATGTCATACATTACCACTTTGAAACAATTTAATTTACAACTTCGACTTAATTTCGAATCGAAACTTACTTGATAGTCTAATTCCATCTTCGACCTTTGTACAATTATAGGGAAATTAGAGGGTTATATAATATAAATTCGACGATTACAGCAGCGACCATATCGATTTTAAGTACGTTCGAAATGTCTTAATTTAGATGGTTTGTTGTATCATTTAGAATTGATCTTTAATCATTTGGTGAAACCTGGAAGGGATGGAACTTGTAGTTGGTGATATCTTCAGTTGATGCGTTTGTAGTTTTCTTATATTGTGTGGTAGATTATTCACGTACGTATATATTTGTTGTAAAGCTTAATGCTAGGGAAGAAAAAAAAATATGAGTACAAGTAATAGTAATGGCAGTTAGATCATATTGTATACTCAATGGTTAGTTATTCCTTTTGTTTGGTGGTAAGGACAATATAAGTGGGGAAAGATCAGGGTATTCAGGTACACCTTGTTTTTCTAGTTGGTAAGAGAATCGATTGGTACTGGTATTGCAATCAGCACAGTGATTGAATTTTGCATATTTTTTCTTTAATTATGAAAAGTTCTAAATCTTTGAGTGATGCTGAAAGGTTGGAGAAGAGAAGACTGAAATTTTCTAAAGAGGCCAGTGAACTGATACTTAATGATGATTTAAGAGATGTAGCGTTACTGAGTCGTTCGTCCAAGGGTAACAACAACACCTCTCTGCAAAGATTGAAAACTGATCAAGAAGCTAGATGGCAGTTGTGGAGAGAATTGGAAGTTTTAGCTATTAATAATGACAATAAGTCTACGTTGGAGCATGGTTTGAGGAAACTAAGGGAAATTATCATTAGCATATATGATGAATTTAAACAAGATGAAGATTTTATGAATTTTACTGAAAAAATATATATCAAGTCATATAATTTATTTTTATTCAGTAAAGAATTTGGGAAATTAGGTGGGATAGTATTAAATTTCATGATGACAACAAATTTCATGACACATTCATCAAATGGGTTACAATATAAAATGATATCCGTTTGTCACGCATCTCACGTTGATAAAAATTTGGATAAAAGCATAAAAATGGCATTTCAAATGATGAAACAAGAACCAGCATTTGAAAAACAACTCCGAAACATCATAAGATTATCATTGATATATTTAGAGTCTACAGAATCACCCAATATCTGGTTTGAAATACTATCTGATTTTAAAGTAACGTTTCCCTTAATTTATCAATTCCTCATAGAGACACTCTCTTTCAAAGAAATCCAAACAAGGACCTTGCAAGAAGTATCCAAATGTTATAACCAAATTCCATTACAGTTCTTAATGTCACATTGGTTTCATAACTTAATCTCTCAAGAACTAATTGCTGAGAATTACAAAATGGAACCTTCTCCCTCCGGAATCGTAACGGTATTCTTCAAAAAAAGGAAACAAACTGCATAAGAGTATATATATATATATATATATATATATATATAATTATAGAATATCAATGACTAGTATAATAGAATAACAGGATAGCATATAGATATATCATCATTCATGTTAAGTATTAACTATAAATAAATAAATAACTACCTCTACATATTTTATTACTGTCACCTCTCTGTCTCACCATGGTCCTTGGTCCATTATTATCATTATCAACGGCCTTTCCCTGTCGCTTAACAATATTTCGTTCCAATTGAACCGCCAAAGGTTAAAAATGAAACATCTTCAATAAATTTAAAATATATGGTAGTTAGTAGTATCTTATTGTCAATTCAAAGAATGATTATAGATCAAAAGGTTTATACAAGGGCCAACTGGTGGTATATTTGAGCTTATTGGGAGTATTCTTTTATTTAGAATACAATTTTACGAACTGTTATAACTTTCTGGTCATTTCTCTGTTCTTTATCTTATTTGATAACGTTATTTATTACTACCCAAGTATAATTTTTAAGTTTCTTTTGGATTGATTTGTGAACAAAGAAGGCGCTGCTGGTTTTAGTTTGGGGAGGTTCTTACTATTAAAATATAGAGCTATACTTATTTATATTGAGGGAAATATTCTTATCGACCAAGATTGATAATTAAAGAAAGATTTGATTTGTAAAGAAATTTTAGCAGCAATGAGTGAAGTCGAGAAAAATATATCTACCATACTCTCCGGGAAGGTTAAGTTAGAACAATTGGAGGACACTTTAGGTTTAGATGATAATTCAAGAAATACTGTCGTCACTGCTATTTCCCAAGCTCATGATTCAATTTTACCTTTAAGATTGCAGTTTAATGATCTTATACGACTATTGTCGCATATCGAGGAACAGCCAACACAAACTTCGGAAGAAAAATATTTGCTGATAAGAAGCAAACTGTTAGATTTATATAAAAATATTGAAAATTTATCAATCGACGTGAAGCAATTACAGCCATTATTCCAAACAGTATCTGAATATTCGACAAAATATAAAAATAAGAAATATCAGCCATTGGAAACACTCTATCAATCAAGTACGGGAGCAACCACGACAATAACTAGTAGTGCAAATACATCCAATGGTCCAAGCGTAACAGGGTCAACTAGTGCTGGTTCAGCTGCTAATACTCCGAATGTTTCTGCATCCGCTTCTACTACAACAAAGAGGGCTAAATCCAATGCTGCTACACCAAGTAGTGCAACAAATACTCCAAATGCAAGTGGTGCTTCCGTTGGAACTCCAAATTCTGCATCTGCTGGTATTACCTCAGGGAGTGGCATTACTCCTATTCCTACTACAGGTGTTTCTGCAGCTTCAGGTTCGGCTGCCACAACAGCTGCCAGCATCTCAGCAACTACCCCAACCACCACCACTACTACTGTAAAGAAGCCAAGAAAACCAAGACAACCTAAAAAGACGGCTGCTGCTAACAAGAAGCAGCCCGTTCCTTCACCTTTAAATTCCCAAATTCCTCTGAATACTGCTTCTATCAACAACAATAACACTTCTTCTGCATATAATAATATGAAGGCAAATAATACCAACATGAAGATGGCTCCAAATGCAGGACCAATGAACAATCAGGCACAAATGATGGGTAATCCATCTCCTAAAAATATGGTTAACACACCATTAAACAACATGATGGGCTCTTTAGGAGGTGTCAGTCAAGACTATGGAATGCAATTGCAAACTCCAAATCAACCTACACCTTTACAAATGCAAATGGGCCAACAAGGAATTCAGCAACAGGCCCCTCCATCACAACAAATTCCACAACAGTTTAATATGGGTAACATGGGAAACATGAATAACATGGGAAATATGAATAGCATGGGAAACATGAACAATATGGGCAATATGGGCAACATGAATAACATGGGAAACATGAATAACATGGGAAACATGAATAACATGGGTAACATGGGTAACATGGGAAATATGGGTAATATGAATAATATGGGAAATATGAATAATATGGGCAATATGAACAATATAACACCAGCAAGCATTCTGAGCATGAATTTGTCTCTTGATAACCAATTACCACAACAACAGCAACATCCGCAACAAATAGGACAACAGCCTGACCAACAGGGTAATAATAGAATGGATACAAATGATTTTGATCTTTTAGATCTAAACAATTTAGATTTCAGTGGAGGAATGGATTTTGTTTAGATATACGGTTATCATCAAGAATACCTTTCTACCTGTTCTGGTTAAAGCAAAGTTTTGAAGCTATTATGAATTTCAATTAGAAATTCATGTCCATCAACTCACATTGCTACAAATCCAAGTTCAGGTATACAAGATTGATCAATGGAAATATACAGAATTTTACAATTTATTTTCAAGTATTTGACAATAAAACAAAATTCAGGTACCAGCTAATTTTAGTGGATACAGTAAACACCTGTGAACATTTCTTCTTTTTTTCTCTAAATAAAAAAAGAGAATATATCTTATTTATAATCTAAGATTGAAATTAGGAAAAACTACTCGAATAAAGAGAAGATATCTGAGTACAAAGATTATAGACCTCAGAATACTCAACTGTCCTAGCCTAAATGAACGAAATAATCATATCATTAACCTTCATCAATCCATCATCAATTACCTCCAATTCCTCATTGACTAATATTATGCCTTCGGTTATTTTTGAACCCCGGGTAAATTAATTGTCTAACGATTCTTCTCATCAAAGAAATGATTCATAAGCGATTGCGATGGTGAAAAAAAAAGTCGATACTAAATATATAAGAAAGATGATGATAATGATGATGACATATTTTAGAATGGGATTTAATTTAACTTGTAATTTGTGTTTTAAATATTATTTTTATTTTCATAATTGTTTGTAATTATTATTTGCATTTAATTCTGTAATCATTTACAATATTGGTTTAAGCAATTGAAATTATTAATTAGTCAACTTTTAAAATTCTAATATAATAGGAGTAAGACTACAAAAATAATCAAGATAGTTGAAAGTGGAAAAGTTTTTAAAAGTTGTATAGAAGTGGATTTGTGCTTTTTGATTTAGTTTGTAATTTGTTGTAATATATAATAGGAAACAAGATATAATGTCAGAATTATTGAGACAAACTTTTGCTCAAGCTAAAAAAGAAGGCCGTAATGCATTGGTAACCTTTATGACTGCTGGTTACCCAACCGTCGAAGATACTATACCAATTTTGAAAGGTTTCCAAGACGGTGGTGTAGATGTTATCGAATTGGGTATGCCATTCTCTGACCCAATTGCAGACGGTCCAACTATTCAGGTTTCTAATTCTGTTGCTTTGGAAAACGGTGTCACCTTAAAGCAGACTCTTGATTTAGTTCGTCAAGCAAGAGCTGAAGGTATCACTATCCCAATTATTTTAATGGGTTATTATAATCCTCTTTTGAATTATGGTGAAGAAAAATTTATTAAAGATGCTGCTGAAGCGGGTACAAATGGTTTCATCATTGTCGACCTTCCTCCTGAAGAAGCTCTGAAAATTAGAGGTTATGTTAGAGAAAATGGTTTAAGTTTAGTACCACTGGTTGCTCCTTCTACTACTGATGAAAGATTAGAACTATTATCTCATATAGCTGATTCTTTCGTTTATGTTGTTTCAAGAATGGGTACCACCGGTGTTCAAACATCAGTTTCCAATGATTTGGGTGAATTAGTCGCTCGTGTTAGAAAATATACTAAGGATATTCCATTGGCAGTAGGTTTTGGTGTGTCAACTAGAGAACATTTTGAAACTGTAGGTTCATCTTCCGATGGTGTAGTCATCGGTTCTAAAATCGTTACTCTATGTGCGGAAGCTCCAACAGGCAAACGTTATGACACTGCTAAAACATACGTTGAAGGTATTCTAAATGGTGTTAAACATAAGATTTTAACTAAGGATGAGTTTAATAGTTTACACGAAAAGTCTATCAATAATGCCAAAGCCTTGAACGATATTGCTAATGAATTTGACGAAAAACATAAATTCTCAGACAGATTTGGTGAATTCGGTGGTCAATACGTTCCTGAAGCTTTACATGCATGTCTAAGAGAATTAGAACAAGGTTTTGAAGAAGCAAGTGCTGATCCAAAGTTCTGGGAAGATTTTAAATCTCTATATTCCTACATTGGCCGTCCTTCTTCTTTGCACAGAGCTGAAAGATTATCTGAATATTGTGGGGGTGCCCAAATTTGGTTAAAGAGAGAAGATTTAAACCATACTGGTTCTCACAAAATTAACAACGCTTTGGCTCAAGTATTGTTGGCTAAAAGATTGGGTAAGACCAACGTCATCGCTGAAACCGGTGCTGGACAACACGGTGTAGCTACTGCTACCGCTTGTGCCAAATTCGGTCTATCATGTACAGTTTATATGGGTGCTGAAGATGTTCGTCGTCAAGCTTTAAATGTTTTCAGAATGAGAATTTTAGGTGCCAAAGTTATTGCTGTCACTAACGGTACCAAAACTTTAAGAGATGCTACATCTGAAGCTTTTAGATCATGGGTCACCAATTTGGAAACTACTTACTACGTAGTTGGTTCTGCTATTGGTCCTCATCCATACCCAACATTAGTTCGTACTTTCCAAAGTGTTATTGGTAAGGAAACTAAGGAGCAATTTGCTTCCATGAACAATGGTAAATTACCAGATGCCATTGTTGCTTGTGTTGGTGGTGGTTCTAATTCTACAGGTATGTTCTCTCCTTTTGAACATGATACCAGTGTCAAGCTTCTGGGTGTTGAAGCTGGTGGTGATGGTATTGACACGGAATTCCATTCTGCTACTTTAACTGCAGGTAGACCTGGTGTTTTCCACGGTGTCAAGACATATGTCTTACAAGACAGTGATGGTCAAGTTCACGACACCCACTCAGTTTCAGCTGGTTTAGATTACCCAGGGGTTGGTCCAGAATTGGCATACTGGAAATCTACTGGCCGTGCTGAATTCGTTGCTGCAACTGATGCCCAAGCTCTAGAAGGTTTCAAGTTGTTATCTCAATTGGAAGGTATCATTCCAGCTCTAGAGTCATCACATGCAGTGTATGGTGCAGTTCAATTGGCTAAAACCATGAAACCAGATCAACACTTAATAATCAACATCTCTGGTAGAGGTGATAAAGATGTACAGAGTGTTGCTGAAGTTTTACCAAAATTAGGTCCTAAGATCGGTTGGGATTTAAGATTTGAAGCAGACCCTTCAGTATAAGTAACACCAATTTATCCTACATTTAATCTCCTTTTCACACTTTAGTTGCCGATAATTTGGAAAGTTAATGGACTAGTAGCTACATATTATAATAATAATTATTATTTAATTTAATTTCTAAAAAGGAATTTAATTTACTGATGTTTTTGATCAATAAATATATTCATTAGGAACTATTGACTAATTTCATTTTTAGTGGAATTTAGGAAAATTCTAAATAATACGTATATTTTCTTCCTATCTACCACAACTCTCCTCGTGAAGGTTCCAATTAAAATTATTCTTGCCATTAATATAGATCTATTTAACCCATTACAATAATTTTAACTTGTTAATGTCTTACTACAACAATAGTTTGCTATTCTAAGCTTAAAGGAGTTTGCCTCTCTGTCATTTCTTAATACCGCATCAAAATTATGATATTAATATAAAATAGTAGCGATGAAAAGTTTAGATATTAAAATTAGGATACAGAACTCTAATAATAAGAAGAATAGGAAGGCAAGAGATATTTTCATCTTTGTAGCCCAAAACTTGGTGTTGAATATGTTTGGTGGTATACGTACATCAAAGTATATTTATCTGCTTGTATGGTTATTTATAACCACAGCAATTGCTGAAACATTCAAGAGTCAGAGTACCCAAGATGAAACTTATGAAGAATATACCAAAAACTCTTTGTTATGGGCACCATA